AGGTAGTATGAGCACACATACTGTGGACTATTCCTGTCACCATTTTACAGTCACTGTTAAATGCAATAGTCCTTCCAAAGTCCAAATATTGAAATGAATGTAGAAATGTTAACTGTCAAGATTTAGACTTGGGCAAGAACTGAGGCTATCAAAGCAAAACAAATTTTAAAGTCCTTGTAGTAGTTCCTCATAAAAAGAACATTTGAAATTGCATTTATTATAGCTTATGTGAGTCATTCAGTTTATATTATAATATGTTGACTAACAATTATTAAATTTATCAGGTTCATCAAATAGCTTAATCACTATAAATTGCCATATCTTTAGGCTTTCTTGATTTCCTTCCTCCTTCCCCCTTTCTCTTTTTGTCATCTTTCTTTTTGATAATTGCCATTAACAAGATAGACCATGATGCATTAAATACCACAAACGTCTTTGTAACAAAATATTTTTTGGAGAAATTGTTTTTAGTGTTTCTAGTGTGGTGCCGGGAACATCTATGCTGCTGCAGCTGGTTTAGAGATACTCCTTTTTTTCCTGAGCAGTGAAGAGGGAGAAACACTGGCTGTTGTAGTTGACTCCATATATTCCCTAGCACCAGGATTCTAAGCAGGCTGGGTGGGAGTGTCCTGGAATATTATTTAGGTGAGATTGAGAAAGGAGGTGATGTCCTCTGTTAAAAAGCTTGTTTGAAACTAGCCCAATTTTTGTCCAGGGCCATTTTTTTCCTTCCCTAAGTCTCCATAATGGAACTTTCTGCTTCATTTTTCTCTTTGAACATCCTCTTGGTTCTGGCCAGTATTTCTCTTCCTTCAGCTGACTGCTGCATTAATACAACCTCAAAGATTTTCCCCATTTCCCAGTCCTTGATGCATTCCCAGACTATTGAGGTTTTCTAAAGGCTTTCACTGCTAATACCAAAAGAAGAAACAAAGCTCCATCCTGTGCCACCATGGGAACTAAACTCTGCTATATTGGCATTTGATCTCCAAAATGAGGAGTAACAGGCTTAAGAATTAATGTGACGGGCTCCGGAGGCATGGATAGGCGTTAGCAAACTCCCTGTATGGAGGAAGGAAATAGAATCTTATTCTACATCTCTCTTTCCGCTGCCTGTGACCACTACCAGTTTTGCCGTTATAACCCTACCATGGAGGGCTTGTATCTGGGACAGAAACCACTCGCGGTAGCGGCAGTTTTGATGGAGGAGAGCGGGAGGGAATCAAAGAAAATGAGGAGAGACAGTCACAGGCAGCTGGCAGAGAAGGAAGGAAACCAAAATCAAAAAAAAAAAAAAAAAAAAAAAAAAAAAAAAAAAAAAAAAAAAAAAAAAAAAAAAAAAAAAAAAAAAAAAAAAGCACAAGTGGTGTCAGGAAGCTTCTTTTGGTCATTTTTTAATGTAAGATGTAGTCTATAAATTGACCACTGTCAGTACATTTCGAGAAAGACTTACATATTGCCAAAGTTAAACACTGATTATACAGAAGGGAGATTTTTGTGATATTTTATTCCAACTTTTAAGTTTTCACTGGTCATGATTTTCTCTATACTGAAATATGCGCATTTGTTTTCATATTCATCCCTCTTCTCCTAGAGCCATATACTTATGATTATGTGCAAAGAACACTGGAATGATAAACAAGGTTACTATCCTTGCATTCTTATTAGCTGGGGCCCAATATAAAAATTTTGTGGAGATACTCTTTTACAGTGATTTAAAAACAGGCTGCTGCTTCCTTCTTGTCAGCACACAGCCATTATTCATAGCATGATTGATACTCTGGTGCTTAATTCCCATCTTTGTGAGAGAATCCCATCATATCTGAAAGAAAAATAAAATGTAAAGTATCTTTTTCACAGCTTTATATTCATTATTTTTCCAATCAAAAGAAAACAAGAGTGTGATCTTTATAGGTGGCATGGTCATCGTAGTAAAGTTGATGATTAAGAGACGCACTTCATGTACTCAGCAAGGATTAGGTCACCAGAATTAAGAAGCCAGGGCTTTCTGCAAACCAAGAGAGTTTCTCTAACTTGACAGTGTCCACAGGTAAGGCCGGATGGACTGCTTTTTACCTTACATTAAATCAAAATTTGCTGCTTTACCTGTACACCGTGGCATGCCAAAATTCAGCACCTGTCTTTGTTGTTGCTCAAAAGCAAAGTAGCATTTGTTTGTGTAAGAATCTACAAAGCTAAAGAAAAAGTTGATATGAGGAGATAAACTATTATTTTTGACTCGACATTTATTGTTTAGTTCAGAAATAAAATAGAAAAGGAAGGAGAAAGGAAAAAATACCTGGAGAGTGGTTGTAAATGCTGGAGCCACCACCCGTTATCATCATGTTGAAGTTCTGAAATAATGTAGGGATTTTCTTTAGGTTAATGAGTTTTAAATTACGTAAAGTTAGCAAACGGACACCAGAATAGAATAGAATGGAATAGGAAAGAGGATTTTTATTCTGAGATGATCGAATCTGAAAATATATGCAAAGTCATGGAAAGTCTGTTCCAAGCCAGTTGTCTTCATCATCATCATCATCTTACTTTTAAAATAGTAGTTGATATATCACCCTTTTATTCTAGTAATTTGATTTCTTTTTCTAAATCTAAATCTTCTGAGACACACCACTTTTCTGGACTTAGTCGAGTCAGAATTTGTTGACACATTAAGCATGACTTGGATTTGTATTCAGAAATTCCCATTATTAATCTTGTTCTAATTAAGCATAGGAACTCAGAAAAGTGCTGGAGGTAGAGTAGAATCCATGGCACAGCCTAGGCCTGGGCAGACGGTCATGAAAGGTCATGAAAGTAGAACTCGTTGTCAGGACCGAATCAATGACCTTGAACTCCTTTTATAATACCCTACCTAGTACATTCCTAAAGTTGATGTCAAGCCTGGGCCTATTTCATTTTGTTGGCTTCTTTTCCTTTTCTTCCTTTTATTATATTTATAGGCCACACTTCACCAAAATTTTTACTGAGGCACTGCTACTCACAACCATATTTGCCAGTCTTTTGTTTACAGAAATTAAATAATGCTGCAGTAATTGGCAGACTGTCTTGGCACGTGACTCTCCTCTAAATTCCCTGATTTTTTTTATTTTTTATTTTACACTACATATTAAATAATCTCGTTAAGAAGTAAGCATCTTAAATAGAATATACAATTTCAAAGGGCAGTGAATATAAAGGAAAAGTATATCTTAAACATTACAATCATTTGTATCTTTATATTATTTCTAATATAATGCAATAAAACAAAACTTTAATAATTTGTGCTTGGGTAGTGTCAAAGTCGCCAGTGAAAAGTAACAAATTCAGTCTAATTCCTTATTTAATAGATTGGAAGTCAAAAAACAAACAAAAACAAACTAGAAGTCAGTATCACATACCAAATATATGAAACTTTGTTGTTTCTTTAGAAATAAGCTCTACAAAACCAAGTATTGTGTAAAGATGTTATTACCCACATTTAGCCACTAGCTGTTTTCTATTACATGCTAACACCATATCAGTAAATGTGCCTGATTTTTCAGTATTCAGCTGAAATGTTTTAAACAGAATTGGTGATTTCTAATTCACTGGTAACTTTATCCAATTAAAAAGGTTTAGGTGAAGTTAATGAAATAGTATATTAAGAATTGCTTTTACTTTCAAGTATCTATACTTGCTGTTGTCATGTATGTAAACACTTTTGATCAGATGATGACTTTACAGTTAATAAAAAATAAGGGTAGGACTAGAACGTCAACGTGGGTATACTGTACTATTCAAAAATTTTTGATAAGTACTGAAAACTTGCTCTTGCCCTAGTCCCCTAAGGCAGCTTTCTGTTCCATTTCTCTCCTGGATTGCAGCCCCTGGGTGTCAAATAGCACTTGAATTGTCCAGTAGATGCTAATAATACTTTAAATCTCATGTACTTCAACCCCTCACCTAAATTAGGTATTTCTCCTAATGCTATCACTCTGGGTGCAGCAAACCACCATGGCACGTGTATACCTATGCAACAAACCAGCAGGTCCTGCACACGTATCCCAGAACTGAAAGTATAATAATAAAACCATATCTCATATACTTATATTGATTATTTTAGGAAATACTAATCTGCTTGAATATATTTGTTTACACACACACACACACACACACACACACAGGGAAATATGATTAACAAAATAAATTATGTAAGTATTTTATAGACATAGTAGTATAAGAGAAATTGGACTACGTATTTTCATTGTCTCAAATTCATATATCATAAACAGAAGTTCAAAGTTATTACATCATGATAAACTGCCTAATGGGCAGTTCCCAATGGATTTCTCTTCCACCGATCACTTATTCTACCTAACATTTTAAAAGTAAACATTTTTATAAATTACCATAAACTATTCTCATTTGCAATAAAATATTAATATGGTATTAATTAACCAAATATAGATTTTTGTTGCATAAAGTTATGTTGTATTTATTTAAGGAGAGAAATTGAGGTAGTAGCAATACTAAAAGGCAGTAATGGCATATGGATAATATATTTGGTAGAACCAGAGTATCTTTAAGTGAAATTTCATAGCTATTTCCAATAGACCCTCTAAGATCGAAGTCCAAATCAGTATATGGAAATAGAACCATTTAGAATTGTTAAAAAGAAAACAAAAAAGCTTTTAAAAATAATTGCCTAGAAAGACTACACCAGCAACACGTAAGAACAATAATGTTTGCTTTATAGAGGGTAGTGAAAGATTTTTTAAAAACTCTTTGTACAGGATGTGGCAGGATTATGAAAGTTTGTCTCACTTCCTCTAAATGCTGCCAATGGGAGGGAGCCTGCTCTCCTGTGATTTTGTTTTCCCCCTGAATGATAGTGATGGAGCACTTGCATGATGTGTTTGGTGCCTTGCATGAGGAAGACATGCAAAGGCAAGGTCCAGTCTGCATGCTGCTTAATGAATGTTTTTCCTTTTCTCTCCCTCCTTGTCATGTGCTTTCAGAAGACAACAATGTGGAAGGTGGGTGCTTTCTACCTTATTTTCCAACTCTTATTTGTCCTTTATTTCTTAGTATTAATAGAGTACACCTTGAATTTAGACGGTAAGTTGAACTTCTTTCTGAATATTTGTTGGTTTCTGGATTCTGTATCACTTTTCATACAGAACACATACATTCGCTACCCTGCCATCCCAAGTATATAAAACTTTTTCAAGCTTAACTTCAAACCTTGATGGACTTCAGCATCCCGTATGAACCTTAGGATAGTTATTGCAGTGTTCTGTATGAAAAAAAGATACAATGCTGCTTTTTTATTTTAAAAGACAAAATATTTCTTTGTAGTTTCAGAAGACAGTGCATGAACCTTTTTCTATTTTTTTTATCAAAATGATTTATTCTGTTCTCTTGGAAATATTTATCATTATCCCATTTCAAGTCCATTGGTTTGTTTCAAATTTTTGGATTTATAAAAAGAGTGCAATAAAGTACTGAGTATAAGTAAGAGACATAAATTTAGATTAAATAATAAGCCATTGGCCAGTGGAAATTAAAGCATGAAGCACTTCAATATGATTGCTGGTAAGTATATTTGTAATATTTTGGGTCTGTTCAATAAAATATTTTATTCAAGCTTTTATAAAAATAATCTCTATCAAGTAATTTTGAGGAAGTTGTGTATTTTATATATTTTCCTGTAGAATCCAGCAAATTAAAACATATTTCAACATTCTCATTTTTTAAGAACTGAAATGCATTAGTCAGTGTGCTGCAAAAAAATCTTCAAAGGGTTAACATGCAAAAAGAACTAGGCATAATGAAAGAATGGTGAAAGGGAAGGTTTTTATCAACTTGTATATGTTCTATCAACTTAGATATTCACAGCATTAACAGTTCTTGCATAAGCAATTTACTAATGTATATATGGGAAGACAGCCTTTGTTATATTTTATTTTGATACCATATTTTGAAATATAGTCATTGTGTAAATGTACATTTCTATAGAATTAAGGATTTCTTAGAAATGACTCCCTATCCCAAGTTACAGATAAATAGCCATTGAGGTTACCAAGACTTCATGTCTCTAAAAAAGAACACTTCATGGTAATACAGAGTTGATCAGTAGCATGGATAAATGTGTATTTGTGATTCTTTCCTGGACAGTATTATAATTGCTTAGCTGCTGAACATTTCTGTTAGGTTATTTAAATAAAATAGATTAAAACTTCAAAAGAAATTATAAATTACTATTTTCCAAGTGTTTTATCCATACATGGCTTCTGTTTTTCTATAATATAATTTAATTGCATGTGAGCATACACTTGATAAAAATGATATATGACCCTGCATGCCTAATATCTTTTAAAAACAGTCTCATTTATGTTGTGCATGTCAACTGAGTTTAAAAGTTATTTTTTAAAGGTGTCTTTTCAACTTTTTTGCATTTCCTTAACCATCCTTTAAAATGCTTTTCTTTTCTCTTAAAATCCTATTGCATTCCAAGAGGCTCTCTAATCAGCCTAATTAGCATGAATGCTTCTCTCTTTTCACAGACACTCATCCCGTGCAAAGTTTTGATAAGATTTTCAGAATATAGGCCCATAAACTATTGCAATAAAGTTTATTCAATCATAATTTTAATATTCCTATCTGTAATACGAACTTAACAGTATAGGTAGGAAGTCTAGCGGGAGGAATGTGAGTTCTTTTGGGGTTTGTGAATTTCTATCCTTACTGATGTAGTGTCAAAACCATTAGAAATACCTAATATATTTTCTACAAAGTAGATCTTAGAGATAAGTTCCTCATTTAGTCTATAAAAATTTATAAAATATTATTTGAAAATATCTATAGATATTATTAGATATTATAATATCTATAATATAGATATTATAGAAATATCTATATTCTAATTAGATAAATTAGATAAAAGTTCAAATTAAATGAAAAACATTCATAACCTGGACAAATAAGCTACTATTTTTCAGCATATAAAACACCATGAATTATCAATAGATCATAAGCTGTTGAATCTGCCTATACGAACTTTTTGTTAAAATCACTCAGAAAATAGGCCACAGTTCAGAAGCATCAAACTACTATGTTTAATAACTTTCATATTATATTGTGATTAAATGATTATTTGTAATTATATCTAGCCTACAGAGATGTTTGAATATCCCTAAAATTTTGAGAAAACAACACAGATAATTTAAATACTAATGAAACCAATGTATAATGTTATAGAACTCAAATAATGTTTCAAATATACCAGAAATAGCACTGGGAATTGAAAATACAAATTTATTAAAATTGTTGTATGTATATTATATTTCTCTAACATTTTACCAAATTCTAGAAGTATACATGTATTGAGAGATAGCTTTATTTCTGAACTTAGAATAAAAAATTGGGAGGAATTATGCCTTTCAGTGAAAAGTAACTTCTTGAATAGCAAAATAATTTTTTAAAGAACATTAGTAGTAGTATTTAGAAGAGGAGTGGTCTTCAGTTTGAAGTGAATTGTCAAGCAGGACATGATAAATAATCTAAATAAACAAAGGGATTTCAATGTCCCTTTAAACATCCCTTGATGAAATTACATCTGTAATACGTAGTTAGTATATCTCTAAGTTATACTATAACAGCATTTAATCAATGCTTAGGTTAAATCCCAGATAATTTTGTTTTCCAAGGAAAATTGCTTTAGCATATTTGAAGCTGACCCATTGTTTCTTAAAAACCTTATTCTGTAGTAAATTCTAACTTTACAACTGCATGTCTAATGATCATTTCGTATTTGCACAAGCCTAGTCAGTCGCTACATGTGTCAGACAAGGAGACATTTCTGCATTATCATTTCAGTGTGACTACAGATTTCTTTTTCTTCATTTAATTATAATACTGCTCATTTTTTGATGAGGGGAAAAAGATCAGACCCAGCCCATGATCCAGGTATTCCTTTGGGTTTTAAAAAATGTAATTTCATCACTGAAGAATGACAAGCCCTTTGGGGGCAATGTTCAAAACAGTCTCATCAAAAGGCACAGAGGGCAGATGTAATGTTGAGAGGTTTGGTTGGATTTTGAGTCATGCTCTTGTGCTCTTGGTTGTTCTAACTGATGCATGGAAGAAATACACAGTGCAGCATATGCCAGTGTTTAAAATGCAGTTCTAGAACACTTCGCCCCAAAGCATTCCAACCAGGGGTTGAAAGAATGCTTTTTGATTTGCCTCTATGAAACAGACGTATCTCATAGGAAACGAGATGTCTGTCACTGAACATTTTTGTCACCGTGACAACCCTGCCTTCCCATGCTCCCTTGTTTATTGCTGACTGTGCTCTTGTTTCCCTTCAAGGTCTGGCGCACCTGATGATGGGCGACCAAGGTATGGGCTCTGTTCCTTTTCCACTCTGCTTTCAGTGTTTTCTTGTTCTGTAGCTGCTTTCAAGCCATCACTGCAAAGGATGGGCAAATGCTTGCAAATTATATGGCTGCAAATTAAATACATATCTTTCATTCACATTTTTTCATGTGGTTTTCTCCCCTTTCCTTGTTGGTTTGATTTTGGTTTGTTCCTGTGACTTTTATTTTCCTTCATTTCTTGCATTATAATGTCTGCAAATAAATGAGACATAAGAAATTGTGAATGAAAATTCTTATATATTTGTCAGCATATGCAGTAAAGGTGGTTATGGTAAAGAAAAACCAAGAACCGTCAGAAGTTCTGTCTGAAAGAATATGCTCAGTTTAAACCACTGTATCCAAAATATAAGTCCATTTTTCATCCATGCATGGCAGTTTGAGAACATGCAGACATCTTTGGCTTCTGGCTTCTAGAATGCTGAGTATAGTGTTCCACAGAATCAATACTTTTTCTGCGAACATTTATTGTATGTCTCTCTTTTGTGTAATCTTTAAAAAGTCAGCATGAGCCTTTCAATTTTTTGCATGTACTTGTCTTCAAAAAAAGGCAGAATTCCCAAGATATCCTGATTGCATCTCCATTTGTCTTCAAAATCTCATTTATACTTTCCTGTCTTGTTTAATTTTCAGAGAGTAGTGCCTCTACATATGTTCATAATTCTTATTGTTGTTTTTCTCCTCTTTATCCTCTTTGTCTGGAAACCCTTTCTTCATGGACCCATTTCATCAAATCCATAGGTAAAAGTAAAGGTATTATATTATTTTATTTCTTCTTAATATCATCTGTGAACTACAGTGTGTCTAAGTTATGTAAATGTATTTAGACCTTTTGGCATTGGTAATGGGCACTGGGAGGTAGGTATGTATGTTAATAAATAATTTATAGATTTAAGGTAAGAAAAATTCATCTATCTGTTTGTGTTGTCATCCCTACTGTTTGTTTTTTTCCTCTTTAGAGTGATCTTTTTCTTGTCAGGTGCTCACATGATTAGTATATTTAGAAATTAGCTACAGGTTTTGGGGTCAGTTTTTTCAGTATCATTTAATGGTAGTTAGATAAGTGTAGGAACTGTAAATATATCATCTTCAAACATTCAGCTCTGGAGCACACCTGCCCCAGCCATTCTGTATTGAGTTGTAAGTCTAAGCATGTGTACCACTGAAATGCTACTGCTGTGGGCTCATCACCTTGTTGTCTGCTAGATGTCGTATATGCACATGAACTCTGTAGTAACATAAAAAGGCAATATTAAGAAAGAGAAACAGAGAAGCAAGACATTTCTCTTTATGCATACTAACTTTGTTTTAAGACATTATCAACTAGCTATGCATTCCTGCATTGCTTGGTAAGTCAGGCATGTGTACTCTTTGATAGTGTTCGTACAAAATCCAGACGCATACGTAATTTGCCATTTGAAACCATCCTCATCGTGTTTAATGTTGTCATTAAAAGGAAGTAAGTGATATGCAGCTGCGGCAAACATATAGAATAGTCTTTAAATCAATCATTTTTAACTGTGAATTAATGAATGTTTTTATATAGTTTCTATTTTGTAATTATTATTAGCTTAAATGCAGGAATGTGCTTTATTCTTTCTTATGCTCTCAATGTTAATCTGGTGAATTGGGACCGCAGTTCACAGTTCTACACCTTCATATTTGTGTCATCTAGCAGGAAAACTTTTCTGCTTGAAAAAGCACCTGAAAATGAGCCAGGCAATATCTATGAAATGATATCAATTTTAAATGTGAAAAATAGAGCTTTAGAAGCAAATACTGTTTGACTACTTTGATCCAGCAACATAAGCTATCACAGTTTTTGTTTTGGTTAGCTATTTTCTATGATGTAATTTAATCTCATGTTAAGCCTCTAGCACCTATGCAAGTGATAGTATATATCAATTATTTTAGAAGTTTTGTATACCATTTTGAGGGCTTTCTTAACATTTTTACTTGAGGCCAAAATCTCATCCACTGCCTTCTCTTAAGTGGGCATTTTTCGTCATGTTCTTTAGTATGTGGACGTAGGATGGCATAGAGGGAAGGATATTTATATTTTATCTTACTGGCTGAGTAAATTGTATAAATGTGTTTGTATATATGCTTATATGTATTTGTATGGATACATGTATAAATACACAATTTCTAAGTATATACACTCTTATATTTGTTATCTTGTGAAAAAGTAACTCTTAAACCAATTTCTAATTATACAACCATTTTCCACATGTGGAATAGTTTATGTTTATACTCAGCTGCTATTTGTTTTTGGTGTACTTAATGTTAAATGTCACTTAACTTTATTCAGTTTTACTGTGTCAGTCTTAAATGTTTTCTGTTGGCATGTGTGTCAAACATTATGTTTTAACTTCAGCGGTTTTCATCAGATTTTGTTCCTCAATCAGCACAAAGACACAGAGGACAGGAATTTGATTTTTCCATTGCATTCCTCTTGCATTATTGGGACGAGTATGGTATTTGCTGTTAAAGGTAGAAAGAAGATTTTAAGATGAACTTGAGTATTTTTCTAATCAGAATGGTACCCATTACATATTGGTTAATTAGATGTAGAGAAATGAGAAAGGTGATACAATCATGGCTATGACATGGCATCGACATTCAAAGAGTGTTCATTTAACAAGGAAATGAAATAATGCGGGCAAGTTAGAATACATGACAAAATGGAAGTGGTCTGAGAGAGGTACAAAGTGAAGTGGGAATTCAGAAAAAGGTAAACATAACGTCAATCCAAATCTCTCTTATGTGAATATCCCCACCTTGTGTCATCTGTTGGAGGAATTAAAAAAATCTAGAAATTTTACATTGTAGCTTCTTATATGGAGTTAGATCCTAGTTGTGCATGAAATAGAGGTTAAATCTGGCCAGTTTAAATAACTGATTTATATCGAAAACTTATGTTTTCTAAGTTTTCTCAGTATAATCATGGAGCAGTTTTCTCAACACCACTTTTATCTTGTGGGAGTAGTGAATTCAGGGGATCTGGAATGGACTTCTGTGGATTAATGTCTTTATGAAAAAAAGACTAGGAAAAAAACTAGAAAAACTAGATTCAAGAACATCTTCTGTATGAATTCTTAAATATTTTCTAACTTTTTAAATGTCCAGTGATAAGTGAATATATTTCATTGAAAAATAAGTAACACATGTAAAAAGAATGTTCCTTTTGATAACCTTCTTCATCCTCCTCTCAAGTCCTTTCTCTGGAGGTAAGCACTGGTCTCACTTTTGACGTGTCCTTACAGAGTTGGTGTTGATCCTTCTATACTCCATAACGACTCAGGGTTGGGAAACTGCAAAATCCCTTATCATGTGTTCATGACCAAAACGGCAAAGTCAGCTGGAGATAACGTTAGAGACCACTGCTTTGGGCTGGCAGAATCACAATGAATGAAGCATAACTTTTCTCATTCTTCTCGTAGGCTATAGTGCCTCCTATTTGTAGTCATTCTGTTTCAAACTTTAGAATCGATCTATTACTTGGTGTGTTTTCTACAGTCCCTAAACAAAGATATGTCACCTTTAACTGGATATGGTGAAGAATAAAGTTCCTTTGGATGAATTATAGCCTTCTTTGGGGCAGCTGAACATCTGTTATTCAAAGCCAACCTTACTTTGCTGGCTGTGGGTAGATGGATTCAAATAGTCTTCATGAAATTTGTATCACTTTTTTTTTACTTGAAATTTGTCAATGGTATTGTGGTTAGGATCCTTGGTACTGCTAATTTTATTCTCCTTTCTATTTAGTATTTTGATTTATCTATTTGCCTTGAATGAAGTATGTCTTTTCTCGTGTTTATTCTTATTTCTTTTTCTATGTATGTGTAACTGGTCACTTCATTACAATAACTGCTATGATTGTTTCTTTATATTTTACTTTAATGGCTTGTTGGAGAGAAATGAATGACTATTTAAATTACAAAATGGTCAAAATACATTATACATGAAAATCCAGCCATAATTGCTGGTTAATAGCTCAGGAGCACAAGTTAATAATTATCAGCTAATGCTGGCACTTTGTTTGGAGGCTTGTACTTTACCTTTATAAGTCATCATAATAGTAATTACATATTTGTATATATGATTATACTTAATGTTAACTTTTCCTAGTAGAGTGTAAGCTCTATGTGGGCAGAAAGCTTGTTTTTCTCTTTGACCATTGTATTTCCAGGACATTTTTCTGATTGTATCTTGAATTTGCCATTTTTATGACTTAAGTATATTTGTTTGGGGGCAGCTGAGAGGGGGTGCCTAGAAAAGGTAGAGGTGGAGGAAGACATGGACAAAGTAAGGGGTGAAAAAGGAGGAGAGAATGTCTTCAAATAACGAAAAAGAATTGTACCAAGAGTTTATATGGAATCTCTTTTGTCTCTGTCTCTAAACATTTTGTCTCCCAGCATTCCTCTCCTAAAGCTGCAATATTTCTTTCTAGTAAGGCATAATTCTAATATCACCTTAATACACCTTAGCACATGCACAGCAATGGATCTATGAAGAAAGAAAGTCAATGTATTTTTGAGTTTAAGGGTTTTCAAATTTTTTTAATGTGATTCACTGTCACAGTGACAAATAATAACTTGACAAATTTCATTTTCAAACTTTAACTGTTAATGAGTTAATAGGTACATAAATTTTCCTGAAAATCAGATCTGACATTTTATTATCTTACATGGTTTTTATGTGGTTTATTTTATTTTATTTTATTTTATTTTATTTTTTTAGAGTTTCACTCTTGTTGTCCAGGCTGGAGTGCAATGGTGCGATCTCAGTTCACCGCATCCTCTGCCTCTCGGGTTTTAAGTGTGTTCTTTTTTTTTTTTTTTGACTTCATAGTTTCAACTCTGATGTGCCCTAAGAACTATATTAAAATGAATTTGGATTTTACACTCTCGAAAAGCCAAAATTTAAGTCCTGTCTTGTGAGATCAGCATATTTGATATCTTGCATTTATAAATCCTAAACCATATTTACAAAATAATTGTCCATTTGAAAGAGTCAAATGGACATTTATTCTAATTATCCAGGATTCTCATGTTACTAGAAGAGCAAAATATTACAAGTAGAACTGAAAAGAATATAGTTACGCATTCTGAAAGTCCATAGGCCTTATTCTCTTTGTGTAGTGTAGATCTTAAATTAGTATAATTTTTAAAGATAATCAAGATAGATTTTTCTCAACACTAATTGTTAAATCAAAACAATCGTAAAGTCAAAGCTAATTATAATTGTTAAGACCTGGATACAGCTATTTCACCTTAACTAATTGAGGAGTAATATCTAATATTATGAGCTTTAAAACTTTATTTATATTCTCATACAAAAATATTTTTATTAAACTTAAGATAGATTTGATATTATTAATACTTAGAAAAGAATAAAGCATTTGGTGTTTTGTTTTTTCATACATTTTCTTTCATCTTTGTCTTAGTCCATTTGGGCTACTATATAAAAATACCATAAACTGTGTAGCTTGTAAGTAACAGAAACTTATTTCTCAAACGTCTGAAGGCCGGGAAGTCCAAGACCAAGAGCTGGCACATTCAGTGTCTAATGAGATTTTGCCTCCTGGTTTATAGATCACTCCCTTCTCTTTGTGTCCTTACATGAAAGGGCAAGAGAGCTCTCTGGAGTGTCTTTCATAAGGACAGTAATCCCATTCATAAAGGCTCTGCCCTCGTGACCTAATCAACTCCCAAAAGCTCCATTTCCTAATCCATCATTTTGTGGGTTAG